GGGGGGGGGAACGAGCTTTGTTCCGGCATGGCTTTGCTTTGACCCCGGGGCCGATGTCTCACACGCCTGTCCGAAAGTATCCCCCTGGTGGCCTCGGTCGCCGGTGCCCTGTACAAGGAGCACAACTTGGATTTCATTTATGCCTTTGACCGCAAGGAGGTGCGCGCATTTCTTGCCTTCCCCCGCTGTGGCAGCCCTTTTTCGCCTCCCCCCCCCCCCTCCAACGCACCGCCAAACAGCAAGTCCCTTGCGCCAATGCCCAGACGCACTGATGCCCGTGTCCCCTTTTTGCCTTCCCCAGGCCAAGGCCCACGGCGAGGGCGGCACCATTGTCGGCCCGGAGCTTGCCGGCAAGAAGGTCTTCCTGGTGGATGATGTGATCACCTCTGGCAAGGCCATCCGCCATACCATCGATCTGCTGAATGTCCAGCGTGTGGATCAGATCACCGGTGTCATGGTGGCCCTGGACCGCGCGGAGAAGGCCCTCGTGACGTACGACCCTCTGCCTTGCTCTTCTCTCCATGCTCTCCCACCCCCGCCGCGCCACAACCCCGGGACTCAGCTCACCTGTCTCTTCCAACGGGGCCTCTGCCTGGCCGCTCTTTCTCCCGCACCGGTGTGTGGGGGCATACACACACGCACATATGTCTGTGTGTGTGTGTGTGTGTGTGTGTGTGTGTGCGTGTGTGCATACCTACCATACGCATGCACCGATGACCCTTTGTGCGCGCCCATCAGCGCCGACAACGACAAGCCCGAGTCGGCCATCCAGTCCCTGGAGCGCGAATACCCCCACATGCATGTCCTCAGCATCGTCACCCTGAATGACCTGATCCTCTTCGTGCAGGAGCAGCTCCAGGAGGTGTGCGAGTCGGACTCGGCCCAGAAGGACCTCTGGGCCGGGCGTCTGGCCTCCATCGTGGAGTACCGTCGCCAATACGGTGTCTGAGAGCGAGGCGGTCTCCTCTGTCTTTTCCTTCTGTCCCCCCCCCCCTCCCCCTCCACCCCCAACAAAGAGCTCTCCCCTCGTAGTGTCCCCCCACCATGCTTCATCCCTGGTCGCCCCTTTCCATCCACACGCACACGCGTCCACGGTATTCCGCACACACACACACATACATAAATACATACATGCCCTCGCGCATGGCGACAGGTGGCCAGGTGGCCACACGCGGGCAGGGGAGCGAGAGGGAGGGACGAGGGAAGAGGTGGGCAGCAAAAACAGTCACCACTTGGGGCAGAGGGGACAATGGCAAGGGGGGGGGGGGGTCGTATTTCTCTTCAGGGCGAGGGAGGGGGAAAGCCCCGAGATGGGAATCAAATGTTGAGGGAACAAGTACAATGTGGAAGGGAGGCAGAGGGAGGGGGAGCAACGCGCGCGCATCTATGACTGTACAGCACGCGACATCTCCATCAGCTCCTCCTCGTCCGGCGGGTGGTCGATGGTCCGCTGCAGCAGCAGCAGCGACTGAAGAATGGACCGAGCCGTGGCGGCGGCCGATGAGGGGGGATTCGAGCTCGGCTCGGGGCCAGCCAGCGAGATGGCCAGCGCGTCGGCCAGTGCCCCGGAGCCCGGCCCTCCTCCGGCGGCCCCTGAACCGCTGAGCAGCTGGAGAACCGAGTGCGAGGACCCCGATTGATGGTGGCTCGGCGGCTGGCCGGAGGCACCGCCACCGGCGGTGCCACTGCCCCCCGTCGACCCGAGCAGGGGAGCCGGCCCGCTGGTGCTCGGGGAGCCGGCCGCCGGGAGCGAGGCAACCGACCCGCTGGCTGAGCCGGGCGCGCTGCCCGGCGCGCTGCCCGTCTCGGACACCGCATCCACATGGTCCAGGTAGGACTTCAACCGGGCCATGGAGAGATCCCCGGCGGCGGCGAAGCGGGCCAGGCGCACATGCCGCTCCAGGATCGACGTGATGTACCGGTACTTGGCGATGTGAACCAGGCCGCTGAAGTCCCGCGGAACTGAGGGGACACGCTCCAGGACATACAACACCTCTCGGAGCATGATCATCGGGATGGGCACTGCACCCACCAGGGCAACTGGCGCCGGCGCCGGCTGCTGGGACTGCGGTTGCTGCTGCTGCTGCTGCTGCTGGGACTGTGGTTGCTGCTGCTGTGACTGCTGCTGCTGAGATTGCGGCTGCTGCAGAGTGGCCGGCTGCTGGCCCGACTGCTTGGCATCGACATCGGCCCCGGTGGCCGGGCGACGGTCGGGGCGTGGCGGGGGCACCGGGCGCCCGGCTGACGACTGTAGCCCACGCAGCACGGGGATCGGCGCGCTGGCCAGGCGCTCGATGCGCGCGCGGTACGTGCGCATGTTGTTGCGCGGCTCGAAGAACTTGCCCAATTTGGAGATTTCGGCCATGTCGCTCTTGCTCAAGGACGACCAGACGGACTTCAGGCGCAGGATCGGCGGCGAGAAGAGCCCATTGTACAGGGCAAAGGCCCCGAGGAAGTCGTGCATGTCTCGCGCCAGGCGGATGATCTTCAGCACCTTGCGGAAGATGTCCTTCCGCGCGCGGGCAGTCTCCCCGGAGCACACCTCGAAGCCCACCCACTGGGTGAGCTGGTGCTCTCGGCGGAAGAGCCGGACCACGGACTCCGGCTGCTTCATAATCGCCCCGGCCGGGGGGTCGTTCTTGAAGAACCGCTGCGATTGCCCGGACCATGACATGGGCCAGTGGAGGTGGGAGAGTCAGTGGCTGCGCCAAAGCCGCCCGCCACACGAGCGGGCGCACAATAATCCCTCCCCGGGGGGGGGGGGGGGGGCCGCGGCGCCCATGCGGACATGCACATGCTCCACATGCAAAAAAAAAAAACAACCACCAGCCCACACCACAGTGCGTACCTGGTTCGAGGAGGCCACCGCATAGGTGAACCAATCAATCGGCTGGACCTGCGCCGCGAGGTAGGCATTATGGCAGCTGATGAACAGGGCCGCGGTTTGGGGGCTCAGGCCAACCAAGCCGGAGGACAGCGCCCGGTCGCTGAAGCTGCCACTCGGCGAGGTGGCCAGAGTCGGCGCCGAGCCCGAGCTGCTGGACGACCGCGAGGAACCGACGCTCCGCAGGGAGGCGCTCCGCGACAGGGGACGATCGGCCCCGGCACTGGCCGCTTGGATGGTCAACAGCTCGATACGGCGGCCTCGCACCGGCCCCGGCTCGATGCGCCGCAGGGCCTGGTACACGCAATTGTGGAATGCCTGCCGCAAGAGGGCATACTCCCCGTACAGGGAGTAGTGGCCTTGGATCATGAAGTCCCGCAGGAGCGACAGCAGCAGACGATCCTGCTCGAACTCCACCCACTGGAAACGCAGCCACCGAGAGAGGACATTGAGGACCCTGCGGCAGTCCCGAGGGGGCCAGGCGGTGGCGGCGGCGGGGGATCGAATGACAAGGGGAGCGGACGCAAAGATGGCCAAAGTGACGTCAATAGAAGGCACGGGGAGGGGAGGGCGATGAGCAAGAAGCCGCAACAGGAGGGGGAGGGGGGGGGAGGGGGAGGCATCAGCAGGCCGCCTCGCATGACACACGTACTTGCGTCGAAGCGAGTCGGACACCTCCTCGAAGTAGGCGATGAGATCATCCGACAGGCCGAGCAGGCGCGGCGCCTCGGCTGTGGTCAGGGCCCGAGCGTTGAAGCGCGACATCAGCACCGAGAAAAGGTCCACGTGTGACATGTACTGACTGTGCGTCAGCAGGACACTGTCCACCAGATCGGCGGTGTCCTCGAAGTCCAGCAGCGGCGGGTCATTCGAGGCGGACATGAACCAGGTGGAGGCCGCGCGCGTCAGCCGGCCGGAACCGGCCCCACTCCCGGAGCCAGCATCATCGGCGGCGCCCGGGCCCAGGCCCGAGCCACTCAGGCGCCGGTCGTACGGCGCGTCATCGGCCAGGCGCTCGGCCAGATGCCCAATCGAACAGGCCACCACCTCCAGCCGGCCGCGCACCAGCTCCAAAATCAGGATATTCTCCCCGGTGGGCACATGCCGAACGAGGATGGCCTCGGCCGGGACCTGGCACTTGGACCCGGCCTCCGGATCGGCCGCCGAGCCGGCCTGCAGGCCGACCGCCGGCACGCCAAGGGTCAGGGACAGGCGCTTCAGCGTGGCTGGCGTGGCCAGCTCCTCGTGGCCATACCGCCCGGCAATCGTGCGCAGGATGCGCATGTTCCGGTCGAAGTGCCGCCCGGCTTCCGGGTGCTTCGTGGTCTTGCGCCCGGGGGTGGAGGCTCCGGCTGGCCCGGCCACAGAGCCAACATCCCCGTCGGGGCCGTCGCTGGTGGCCGCCACCGAGGGGTAAACCATGCGTCGGGTGTTCCTGCGACACGGGAGGATGGTGGATGGTTGGAAAAGCGGAAAGGGGGCCAGGGGGGGG